CAGACAGACAGACAGACAGACAGACAGACAGACAGACAGACAGACAGACAGACAGACAGACAGACAGACAGACAGACAGACAGACAGACAGACAGACAGACAGACAGACAGACAGACAGACAGACAGACAGACAGACAGATAGATAGATAGATAGATAGATAGATAGATAGATACTGTATCTTGGTCAAGACTCAGTGTTCCACCTACATGTAAAGGATAAAGGACACTCTTTTGAGGACAAAATGTTCATATTTTGGACAGAGAGATGGTTTGAGAGGGGGGTGAAGGAAGCCATTTATGTCAAACAAGAAAAAAAAAACTTTGAACAGAGAAGGAGGGCTCAGATTTCAACATTCAAAACCTACAATACAGCTTTAGGCCTTATTTCCAGTCAGCTCCATTCCAGTTTACACCTTGTGCATGTGACCAAAACATCTCTCCGGAGCCAGACAAAAAGAAGCTTTAAGAGCCTGCATTGTGCGGGGAGAGTACCAGTAGTTTAATCTGTGTGTAAATTTACACAACCAGTCTTCATGCAGTTCCATAGGGTTTGGGAGTCCACACGCTCCAGACATTGTATAATCGATAAAGCCTCCTGGATGGGAAGTGAAACATCTTCAGCTTCAGAATAGAAGTCCAGTTGGAATTGATCAGGACCTGGATGACTGAGAATCTTCACCAGCTCCTTGATTAAATCAATTTTTACAGCATTTGATTTTTCAACTCTTCCTGTCTTCATTAAACTAAAAACTTAGATTAATATGTTTGTATCATGTTGTTTACAGTACATTATTGTTTCATGGTCTTTATAGTTTTGAGTCCTATTACATTTCAGAAACTGGATAGTACATCCAAGAGCTTTAATGAAAAAATGGAAACAAAGCATGCCAACTTTCTGTTTGCCTGCCCTTAAAGAGAAACAATGAGTTTTAGGTCTACTTTTAGAACAAAAGGAAGCTGTGAATCAGGTTTTAATTGACATTGCACCACTCCCTTTTCCTCAAGCAATATATTTACCAGGTATGTAACCCGTCTTCTTAATACTGGCATCAAGTGAAATATTTCCAGAACCAAAAGCAAGGCTTTTATCTTTTGATCCATGTTGAGGAACCTACCAAAGCAAAGCACAGTTTATATAAATGTTTTACAAAATTATTTTTTACATTATATTTCCTAATTCATTCAATTAGAGAATTTAAAGACGTGTCTCTTTCTTTCTCACCATAAGTCCTGGCATGTTCATGTCCGTTTTTGATACAAAAATAAAGGGACATTCAGACTTTTTTGTCAGCTTCATTGACTGTTTAAGCTCCGCCTTCATTTTATGAACAACTCTGCCAATAGATGAGTGAAAAGTCGATGGCATCTGTCTGTAAAATTAAAAAAACAATGGTTAGAACATCCATTCATCCATTATTTTTATCCACTTCTTCCTTTTTGGTTTGCGGGGGTCACTGGTGCCAATGTCCAACTATTACTGTGTGAGAGGCAGGGGACACCCTGGACATATCTCCAGTCCATCACAGGTTAGAACATTAATAGTATTAATAACATCTATACTGCATAAAGACAGCATACCTGTTGGGTATTTTGAAGCTAAAAGGAAACACATGCCTTCCTTTTCCAACGATTTCACTGCCTAGAAAATAAAAAGCTCATCAGCAGCTTCACAATAAACATGCAGTTTTGTGTCCTTTGTATTTTCCATCACAACTTACCAATTTGTCTTGCTTCTCTCAAGATGTCATGTTTGATACTATAATATTTCTCTTTAGCCCAGTAAACCCGATGGTCGTGTTGTCCATGATATTCAGACCAGCGAACTCGAGCTTTCCCTTTTGCTTGAAAACCAATCGACTGGACTTTTGCTGTTTTGGTCGTTTCCAGGATGATCCTTCCGTTAATGGTATCTCCGTTTGTAAAAGTATTCCTGCTGTTGATGGCATCATATTCAATGTAAAACTTTTTGATGGTCATTTCAGGCAGAGCAACACAAACCCAGTAGTGCAACAAACAACCAGAGCAACACCTACTGTGCAGCTTTTATACCTGATCACATGATAGCTGCTCCTGAACAACCGGTTTATGGTGCGTCACGTCTAGTTTTAGAACACCTACCTGAGTATCATGCAACACACTACAGCTCATTCAGTTTTAGGCAGAGGATACTACCGGTTTTGTTGCGTTTTTAAATTTTAGGTTTAAGTCACCTGCTTCATTTTGTCTCATGGTAAAATGTTGTTAGTTCAAAATCTATTTCTAACAAAAAAATGGCTGTTTATTTCATCTAAAACCTGGCACATGATCAGATGTAGAAGGCGATTCAAAGACAAAATTCTAAATTAATTTATTGAGCCAAAAGTAATTTTAGTTGAGCAGCTAGTTTTTTTATAATTCTCATACAGCTTCCACAAATCATAAACCATTAACCTGTTAACTATCTGGTCTACCAAGATGCTCTTCAACCTTATGGCATCTCTGACAGTCTCAGGCAAGGAATCCCAGTTCCTGTTACACAAAAACAGAAAGCAATGATTTTCAAAATCCATTACAACCATGTTTTATTCACAATAGAGCATAGTAAACGTGTGTTTAAACTAAAATTGTACGATTCAGAAGGAAAAAAAAAAGCTATTTTGGATTCGATGGAAGAAACATCTAAACACACAAAAAAAGACAGTGGCAATAAAAGTTAATAAAAGTGAACAGGTGGAATTGTTACCAACTAATTTTATAAATAGTAAAAGACTGAGTGTGAAAGTCTGAAAGTTAATATTGGATTGTGATCATTTTGTGTCATTCCACTGCATTCCTGTCCGATTCTGCTCTGGACAGAACTACATGGGCTAAAGAACACATGTTCAAATCATCTGTAAACACAGTTCAGCATGTCATACACAAACTGATTAAAGCTCTATCATGCAAAAGAAAGAGGAAGCCATATGTGCACGCCATCCAGAAAAGCTATCGTCTTCTCTGGGCCAAAATGGACTGAGGCAAAAAGGAAATCTGAATTTTGATTCAACACAGAACAGATTCAATGCATTCAGTTTCTAACATTTTACAGATGAGAGCTAGTCCAGTGGACTGAAGCTGAATTGTGCTGTAAAAACACAGTTCATAAAACTGAATGCACTCAGATATGATAATTAATACACTGAGGTACAAATTTGTGTTCAACATTATATTTATTCATTTACATACTTTTAACTTGAAGAGGAATAATGTAAAAATAAGTGAAAATATGTGAAAGTAATAATCCTTTAACTTAATGTCTTTACAAAAGTCCAATATAATTTTATTTACTTTTATTCTGTTTCTTAAAATCTCCAACGATCATCTTTACTCAGTTTTTAATTTTTAGAAAAATCATTCAGCGGAGGGTATACTGCATATGTTCCGTAAGAAGGAGGAAAATCAGAAGGCTGAGGTGCTGCTGGTGGTGCTTGTGGAGCTGCAAAGCCCCAAACTTGAGGGTTTGGATTCCCAAACGGCTCGTATCCAAACCCCGGAGCAGCTGGTGGTGCCGTTGCCACATCAGGGACTTGACAGCTTGGCAGGATGACAATATCAAATTTGATCTCTGGATCCGAGTCATATTTAACGTCAAGGTAGACCTTCAGAAAAAAAAGAAAAAAAAATATATATATATATGCAACATCTTAAAACAGAACATGTTTGCATATTTAGAGCAGTTGAAGTAAAAAATAAAAACCCTACAAGGTTTGGCCACAACAGTGCTGACTGGTAATTCATTTAGCTGTTTAAGTCAAAAGTTTATAACAGGGGTGTCCACACTTTTTCAGTATGCAAGCTACTTTTAAAATGACCAAGTCAAAGTGATCTACCTGCTATAAGGCCCCGTTTACATGAGAACAACCTCAGGAAATGTTAATGTATTTTCAATGTTTATTGGGGGTTCAAAGAAAAATGAGTGGGTTTACAAAAAAAACGTAGTTTCCATGTCAGTCGGGTTGCCAGATAAGAAGTTATGAACTATAGTACTGTCGCTTTAAAATCATAGTATTTTGACCTAAATTGTCATATGTGCTGAGTAAAGATATTTTAAGATGAGGTGTGTGTTGTGTTTGTTGAACATGTGCACAGAAAAGGAGGGGGTAAAAAAGTCATTTTAAACTTATCTGGCAACCCTCATCACGCATGCAGCATCTGCACGATCACAGTAAACTTGTGAATACACCAACATCTCTCTGGACCCTGGACTTTATTAGTTTTGCTCCTACATGCTGAAAAAAAGTGAATAGCACAAAAACACTCTGCTCTCTGCCATTTATTATAACTGTTGTTAGTGCAGAATAACTTTGGACTGCAGCCGCCTGTAGTGCGCATGTGCGACTTCACAGAGAGAATGAGGGCAGTTGTCATGTAAATGAACGGCTGAACCGCAGCAGTAAGGCTGCGGTTTCACGTCATGTAAACAGGGCCTCAGACTGGCTGCCCAGTATGTCATTCAAGTGACAAATTTCATAGTGAGGATGGATGATAGGCTGATGCCTATTTTTAATGCCATGTGATCTACCCATACCACCTTTGCAATTGACGTATTGGGCACCCCTAGTTTAGACAGTAAACTAATGCAGCTTAGTGGTGGTTGCCCAAAAGGCAAACAAAAAACAAATTATTAAAATAAAATGTGTATTTGCTACTGTGGCCAACAGGTGCAAACGTACTGCAAATGGCAAAACACACAGCAAAACACATGAACAATGCAAACTAAAAAAAAAACCCAAACAAACAAACAATAAAAAAAAACCTAATGCAACAGAAAAATGCTGCAAAAAAAATCTGCAATCACAGAAAAAAAGAGAAGAAAAAAACACAACCAGCAAAACAAATGTAATGTAAAACTGCTCCAAATACTACAAACACCCCAAAACAAGTGCAAGTAAGAAACACTGCAAACTTACTCCTCAAAAGAGAAGTGCACCAGACCATGAGGGGGACTCGATCACCAAGTCATCTGGGACCAGACCCCCTGTAATCACATTATAGCAGAGCCACTGGCCAAAAAGTGGCTCATCTGAGGAGTTTAATGCACACCGAGTACTTAAAGCTTCAACCTATTTTATTTAAAGAAACTGGTTTTTTTAAGCCTAGTTGTACAAAAATCAAAGCACCGGGGCTAATATGTATACTATATCACTGTTTTGGCAATGTATAGTACCAAGAGAATCTAAAAAACACATATTTTCTGTCCTACTGTATCCATTATATAAGGCAGTATATGTTTACTTCATAAATATTAGTGAACTTTGTTGAAAATATTTAGAAAGTTTTAAAAACTAGCCTGTTTTGTAAATTACTAGAGAACTTATATACTTATCAAAACACCAATCTGTTGTATAGCCAAATACTATACACTAAAATTATTGGGAGTATTTCTGCGTTACATTGGTAGATCTTAGAAATGTGCCAAATAAACTTAGCTGGACTTACCGCTTGTTTTGATACCCCCATTTCAGAACAAAATGATATTGTGGCAACATTTTCTATTGCTTTTTTTTATGTTTATCTTAATATATCGGGTTTTAATATGAAAAAGAAAATTACATAATGTAAAGCCATTGTCTACTTGTGTTACTTTTACCTTTTAACAGTAGCTGCTTTTTCCTTTACATTACCAAAACCTCTTTAGTTGAGAGATTGTATATATTCTTGTATACCATGAAAGTATTAGGACTTTGGAAAGTGGCTGCTCAGCTATAATGTGTTTACAGTGTCTAGTCCCAGATGACTTGGTAGTCGAGTCCCCCTCATCGTCTTGTGCGCTTCTCTTTCGAAGAGTGAGTTTGCCGTTTCTTACTTTGCGTTTTGCCGTTTGTGTTTTCTTCTTCTGTCTATTTTCTGTGATTGCAGAATTTTTCTTTTGCAGCGTTTTTCTGTTGCATTTGTTTTTTTGTTTATTTTGGAGTTTGCATTTAGCTGTCTGTGGCTCGTTTGCACCTGTCAACCACCGCAGTTAGCTCATTTGAGCTAACTATAGCTCATCACATGAACTTCATACAAAGGTTTCTGCTAAAATTAAACTTAAACACTCGTGTGGTTTGAACCAGCAGGTGTGTTCAGACCGTTCCCTGACCCGCTATATTCACACGTCAACGTCCAAAACCAACTCCATCAGCAAACACCGTGAACAGTGAGGAGGAGCTGTTGAAAAGCATTCAAACGACACAACAGAATCGCAAATGGAAACCACGAGTGACCCGACAGCAACACAGCTTTTACATTAAGAAAACATACAACACATTTTAAACAGCTGTCTTTAAGACAAGCACTGCAAGCAAAACGTGCATCTCGTGAATTGGGAAAGAACGTGTAGTTTTTCAATTGAATTCATTTGTCTGGTTGTGGGCAGCTGTGGCTGAGTGGTTAGAGCAGTCATCCTCCAATGCAAGAGTTGGGGGTTCAATTCCACCAGCAGTCACATGTTGAAGTGTCCCTGGGCAAGACACTGAACCCCTCATTGCCTCCGATGTGTGTCCCATCAGTGTATGATTGTGATAAAGCTCTGATTAGTTTCTACAGATTCAGATGAGCTTTGTATAGATCTAGTAGAGTGCTGTATGAATGGGTAAATGAGGGCACAGATTGTGTTGTAAAGCACTTTGCGTATCTTGATAAGTTAGAAAAGCACAAGTGCAGTCCATTTACCATTTTTCCCAAAACATATTAAGAGTAAAATCTTGACTGATAGAAATTAAAATATATAAAAGTCATAATTGCCAATATAGCCATTTTCCTTTATTCTTTCAGTGTAGCTCCTTACCCTGAGTCTGTGTTCTACTTTGATGATGCTGCAGTTGAGGATGGAGGGCTCCACATCGTGAGGGATGGTGAGGATCTGCGTGACGTTTTCTGAAGTTGACGGGGGGTTGGGTGCCCCCACCTCCTTAATGAGGTCTTTAGTGTGGATTCTTCTCTTCCCCCGTGCAAAGAAGCTGTGCTTTCTGTATATGCAGTACTTGGGCTTGATCTCACGGGATGAATCGTTCTTGACGAACAGTAACACTTTTAACCCTTCCCCTGCGGAACAACGAAAGAAAAATGTCAGAAACAAGCAGCGAAAGCAGAATCAGCCCATATCACTTTAAAGCGTTTCACCTTGGAAGAAGCCCGATTTCTCAAGTTTCACATCCATGGCTACCTTTCCTGAGGTGAAAAGTTTCATTTTCTTGTCTTTGAACTCATGCTGTGGTGTCTGGAATAAAACTAGACTGATGAATACATACAACATAAATCAACATAGAAAATTACTGTAGGAATATATAGGGATGCACAATATCAATAGGCATGGTATCGGCCGATATTATCCATAAAGTTCAATATATAAGTTCAATAATATCATGCATCCCTAGGAATATACAATGGTCATGCTGGTTTCAGAAGTCCTCAGGCAGCAGGAAAAGAACACGTCAGATGCGTTTGTTCATACATACCATCAACCCAGAGACGGGGCTGAGATCTGGCTTTGCCACAAAGTCGATCGTAGTCGACTCAGTCTTGCTTAATCTCATGGATCTGCTCAGCTTGGCCTCCAGCAAATACACAATTTTACCGTCGGCACCTTTGAAGGAGGAGGGGATATTCCTGAAGAGCACAGAGTCAGAGAGAAAGTGAGCATAATGGTGGTTTTTTATTGAATAAAAGGTTTTCCAACTTTTCTGAATGGTTCGATGGGAGTTAACATTAATAATGAAAAACATGAGGTCTTTTAAAGTAAACATAAAAGGTATGATGATTTAATAAAGATACAGAGCAATCCAGATCATATCAAATCATTTATTTTACTTATTTACCACTTAAGCATGAAAACAAAGGGTTTATATAAATACAGACGTTCTGTAAGTTTTGTGTTAAGTTAATGAAGGAAGTGATTTTTATTCTTACTGGAGAGGAAACTGAAAGGAGAATGGGTAGATATGGATTCCTGGAGCCAAAACATTGGAATCTAAAAACAAAAAGAGGCAGTAAAGATTTTTTTTAAGTTAACGTATAATGAAAATTTAAAGAAAATGTGCTGGACACAAGGGGTCAAAGATATTAGACGGGTCTTAAGGAAGCATGGTTTGAAGGGTTGGATAACTTTTTCTTTTCCTTTTATGAGAGTATAAAGTATTTGGATGTCTAAAATTGCATTAACTCTGAGAAAATAACCAATGATGGCAATTCGCTTTGAAAATTCAATGCTGGGAAAATTTGCACGGAAAGGTTAACCCAACTCCAACTCTTCAAATTCCACTTTACCAGCAATTCATCAAAAGTTTTTAAATCTTAACAAGAAAAATAAATCTATTCTCTTTGAGACTAATTAGTTCTGAGCCACAAGTATAAAAGAAAGTTTGATTTCACACTTGTTTCTGAATGAACCATAAGCAATTACCTGAGGCCATCAACAAAAAGACAAGGCTAGCAATAGCAGCCATCTTGAATCAATGCACTGATTTATGATAAGCTTCAGTGGTTCTCAACACTGGTCCTTGAGGAACGCCATCCTGCATGTTTTAGTTGTTTCTCTGCTCCATCAAACCTGATTCAGTGATTTAATGACACCATCATGTTCTACAGAAGCCTGTTAAGCACCCATTGAGTCAAATCAGGTGTGTCAAAGCAGGGAGACAAGTAAAACACACAGGGTGGTGTTCCTCAAGGACCACGGTTGGGAACCGTCTTACACAACACAGACAAACAGACACAGGAAACAAAATGTCTGGCATTCAAACAAAGTTGAAAGCTGAAATTTGAGTGTCTGCCACAAAAACAAACAAACACACACACACACACACACAATGGCATAGGAAAAAATAAGCTACAGCTAGCAATGATGTATAATCATCCTGTTTTGTTTTACTAAAGTCACTGCAGAGGTTCCACATATTAGCAACTTCCCTAAACTTCTTGGTTGAGAAATGAACATCAGCTGCACTTTCTTCCAACAGTTTGTAATTACTCATTAAAGTGTTGACAGACACTCTGAGCAGACAAGGTATCCAAATCTGAAATATTAACATACCTGTGGAATAAAAACACAATACAGACCAAGGCTATTCAACCAAATTGCTCATGGGGGCACAGTTACTGAAAGCCAAAAAAGCTCAGGGACTGGAAATCCAGCAGTTATTGACATTAAGTCAACTGGTATTACAGTTTAAAATCTAGTTTGATTTAAAAATGAACCCACTGGGGGGCCTGATTGGGCCCCCCGGCTGTCAGTTGAATAGCCCTGATATTGACACTTTAAAGTCTGACAGGAGTAAAATACTTACAGGAGTCTGAATGCTGGTTTGTCAGCACACATGATTTGTCATCTACAGGGGGAAATATAAATAAGAAACTGATTTACATAAAATTAAAGTTGTAAAATGTTTTTGTTGTTGTTGCTCCTAATCAATAATTACTGTATTCAGTGGTGTAGTCTGATATGTGGGTATACTCTGTACACTAGAAAAGCTTGGGAATTTCAATATACTGACACAAGCTCATGTCATGTATCATCAATGATGCATGACATGAGCTTGTGTCATTGTTAACACGTTTGGAACATTTTATAGACACATTGAGTTGGTGCATCTGTTTTTTGTATAATTAATTCTTCTGTAATCCTGATGAATGCTCAATAATCCAGGTAGAGGAATCCAAAAAAGTTACATCTGGTCCTCTGGACATTTAAAAAAAAAAAAAAAAAAAAAAAATTTTTTTTTTTTTTTTTTTTTAATGTCCAGAGGACCAGATGTAACTTTTTTTGGACAATTCTTCTGTACTTATTACTTGAACATGATTTGCTTTGGACATGGTTTTATAAATTCTACAACATGTTTTTAATACAAAGCCAACTGTGGCACAACTTTTGTTGTACATGTATTCAAATAAAAGCATCAGAGAAATTTTGAAACGTTCAATGTGCTTTAAAATGTAAATAAATTAACGATTACATCGTACTAATCGGTGTACTTCGGTTTCTAAGCACAGTATATACTCACTACAAAATATAGAGTACTGGCTGTGTTCAATAAGACCCCGCCCCCAGTAAACAGTTAAAGGTGATAATCAAACGTACCCTTGGCGTTTTTGTCTCGGATGAAGTACTGTCTGACGCTGAAGTACTTGTCCTTGGAGTGGTACACACTGGTGGTCTTGCCGTGCCTCTCCGTCCACAGAACTTCAGCCTTCCCCTTGAACTTGATGTACAGGGAGTCCAGCTGGCAGTCTTTGGCCACCTCCACCGTCACCTGGCCGCACACCACGTCCCCGTTCGTGAACGTGTTCTTCTCGTTGATGGGGTTATAAGTCACCTGGAGCTTCTTCACCGTCAGCGACATGACGTCCAGAACCACCGAGACAGCGAGCACGAGAACTGAACTTCCAAGAACGAGAAGCCGAGAAGCGTGCGAGCAGAAGGGCGGGGTCTTATCTCGCAGAAAGGGGGATGTGTTCCTCCCCCACCTCCCCTCGTGCTACGTCATGTTTCCCTTTTCTGTTGAATGAAAACAAACTCCGCAGCAGCTGTATGGCAAGCCCTTTTAACATAAAATCGAGTAGTCTGACTATCTGCAGTTACATTCTAGATATCTAAAATAGAATTTTGACTAGTAAGAATAACAATTCAAGATATATTAAAAGGAATTTTGAAATATAATTAAAGATATATTAAGTAACTAATATGTCTAGTCATAAATCAGTTTCAGATATCTGGAATGTAAGTGTGGTGAATGCGATTTTATGTTAAAAGGGCTTGCCCTATCCTATAAGCCTGCATTTTTACAGCAAGCCTTCTTGTTCCTACATGTTCTTCAACAGACCACCTGTGGAGAGCACCATTCGTGCCAAAAACATGTTTGCATGTTAGTTTTTTTAAATTTTTTTATGCAGGTTAGTCTCATTAAGTCACGAGGACTCATTTTCAAGAGCAACCTGTTTAAAAAAAAAAGAGGTACAGAGAACAACAGTCATAAACACATATCAAATGAAAAGTAAATAAAAGTAGAGATATAAAACCAAATCAAATTAAGCTATGAAATGGGGTAAAATACTAAAATCAGGAGCATGTCTGCATTGATTTTTGCATTGAACTTAACAATTGAAACAATTAAAAAATATATTTTATGATCGTCTATCACGGTTGTCATCAGTCTTTGTTAAAAATTCAGGTCTCTCTTGTAAATGAGTCCCGAGACTCAATGGAATTAACCTGTATAAATAAAGGTTGAATGAATGAAAAATTGTTTAAAACTCCTTAGAGTGGTCAAAGTCGACTACTTCAGATCTTCTTGTAAGGTGTTCTAGGAGAAGGCCCTTTTGCCTAATTCAGTCTGCACTGAGGGGGCGCTGCAGGTAATGATGTCTTGAGAGTGCACGCTGTAGCTGCACTGATGATGTGACATGTAGGAGGACATGTATGAATACAAGGATTCAAGGAGTTTTTATTGTCATTCCAGCTCACATTTACATGTTTATGCTACGAAATTCGGACTCAGGTCCCAGATCAAGAAGCCTAACAATTAACAAATAAATAAATACAAAAGAGTATAAATATGCATTTTCAACAAACAATAAAAAAATAAAAATATAAAGGCAACAGACCAAGAAGTGATTTAAAGATGAAAATGTACCAGTGTGAGGGTATGCGTGAAGTTAATGATGTCCAGTTAACCAGTGAATACAGGGTGCAGTGGTGGGTATGGTAGTTACAGCCAGTTATCTGCAGGGTGCTTGCAGGAGCATTCATGTAAATAATGTCACCATAGTCAATGGAGGGGAATAAAGGCGCAGTCACAAGGTGTTTCCTAGTATTCCGAGTTCAACAAGATCTATTTCTGAAAAAGAAACCCAATTTTAGTTTCAATTTTTTTATCAGGTTTTCGACATGAGGCTTAAAAGAGCGATGTGCTTCGACCAAGATTCCCAAGTATTTGTAAGAGTCGACAAATCCAATAGGAACACTTTCGTAGATAAGCTAGAAGGAAGGACTGCTGGGACCGACTTCCTGTTCGAAAACAACATTCCTTTGATTTTATCTGCATTTCGCACCAGTTTGAGATGGAACAAATCTGACCGGATGATGCTGAATGCAGACTGTGAGAGCTGGAAAACGTTAGCAGCTGTTGTAGCTCGACAACAAACTACTGTCGTCAGCATGTAACGCTGCGTGTTCATTAAACTTCTGCTGGTTACCAGGAAAAAATGTACTGTGTGCAAGAGCGATCACATAACATCAGGAGGTGTGGTCAAACTAAACCGAGCACGTTTTTCACATTCCTGGCTTTAGGTTATAATGTATTTATTCATGATATTTTGATAAAATACTTTTATGGCAATTTTTTGGAAGGAAAAAGTATACAACAAACTTGTTCTTTTTTTAATAACCCCCCAAAATAGCCAATTTCATTTTAGACTGTACTACGTCTGACAAGTAAATCAATCCAAGCAGGAGTGAAACAAGCTTAAATAGACAGAACTTATCCCAGAGTGCACATTTACTGTAAAGGAAGTGGGTTACTGCGACAAAGTGGATTCAACAAGTCTGCTGGCTTCCTTCCTTAGAAAGAAGATAGAGAACGTTTGCTAATTGTCTTTTGTGTATGTGAACGTTTCTGTTCAGCGCACTGAGACAACTTCTCTTGTGATGTGGTGCTATATAATTCAACTGAACTGAATTTTACTGCAGCGTTTTGAAAAGTTTGAGCGTTTCATTTTTACGCTCAAAAACATGGATTAACTTTTTTTTTTTCCCCAGAGCTCAGCCAAAGTAAATATTTTGTTTTTTTTTAATGATTTTAAAATATTCACTTTTTATGCACTGCTCTTTTTGAATTTCCCACAATCACACTTACTGACGAAGTTGTGCAGAAGAAAAACGAACGCAGTGCTGTTCATGTTTGTTAGATAAGTTGACTTGTACAGGAGTCCACCCCCACCTGTAACACGTACATGATCCTTTGTAAACAAAACTTTATGTGGATAAGCTTCATGATGATAGGGTTTACTGCAGTGAAGCCGTGGGTGGATATCTGGTTGCATAAAAACCAACAATCATTTTACAAATCTACATTGCCTGGGACAGTAAATGATGGTATTTTTGCATTGTAAGGCCCGGCATGGCCATAGTGGGCCTGCCCTTATCCTACCCCGACCATGAGCGTGTTTGCTTTAAGCTGCGTGCCGACACATGTGGGCAGGGATCATCATAACAAAAACGTTTGATATCATATTATTTGCAACAAAGCACTGGACGACATTGAGCTCGTGCTACTTCTCTTTGTTCTATGTAATTCAAGAAACCGTGCCGAAAGAATCCAGACTTACAGAGCTCTCTCACACATAAACCAACAGCAGCGCAGCAGTGACACTGAGTACAGAATCCTGTATTTAGGGGAGACCTGGCAAAAAAAAGATGTGTGATCTCATGGGATTTCATTGGTCAAATAAAGTTAATTAATAAAAAGATATAATAATGAACATCCATCCATTCGTTATCTTTTACCCGCTTTTTCCATTTTGGGTCACGGGGGTCGCCGGTGTCCAGCAATCACTGTGCGAGGGGCGGGGTACACCCTGGACGGGTCGCAAGTCCATCACAGAAGAATGAACATAATGAATAAAATATCAGTTTTGTAACTTTAAAATTGTTATTACATGTGGGTTGCAAACATCTCAATTTTCCATCTCTCTTGTATTTATCTTAAACTATCAGCTTTGTGTAGTGTTTAAAATGTCAAACATGAACATGTATAAAAAATTACATAACAGCTCCACTATCTTATCTCTGGACCATAAAATGTTCCATGTCTAAGACCTGTAATTGTATCCTATATAGCTGGTTGGAAATATTTTTATCTCTTTAAAAAATAATAATAATAATAAAATTCACACAGTAAAGTTAATTTGTCATGTGACTGATTAGATTGCACGCAAGCTAAAATGATTTATGAGGAAGGCAGTTGTTGGAAAATATGAATATATTGTGGAGTTTCTGCTCCTGGAGTGAAGAGCTTCACCTTAACGTTCTGCCATGTTTGTTCTTCAAACCTCTTGGACATTTAAACTAATGCATGTTATGGTTCAAAAGACGGGGAATGGAAGCTGATTGAAAAGAATTCGTTTCGTTTCATTTTTCATTTCACCTTTATTTAACCAGACATAAACACTAAGAACAAATTCTTCTTTACAGAGCTGGCCTGGCAGCACCAACAGGTACTTGTAGGGTCAAGGGAAGGGAAACAATAATATATAGAAGTCAATAACAAACAAGAAAACACAAATTAAATTAACTACAGTGCACTGTCAAAGTTTAACGACAACATTGCTTAGCATGAAAACATTTGCAACTATCTTTCAACACAGCTTTTAAACAATTTTTAAAATTAGAAACGGAGACAAATGAGGTCAGAGCCAAAGTTTTTGAAGCAGATTCCAGTCTGAACAGCAGAGCCAAAGCCAGACTTGGTCTTTAGAGTTTTTTAACCACAAATACTGAGGATCGGGTGTTGTACTTCCAAACCAGTGCTAGTCACAGTAGAATAGTTAAATATGGAGGTGAAGAACCAGCAACGTCTTATAAATGAGGGTAAACCAAT